ATGGTGTTCTAAAGTCAGCTGTGGGTCCAGGAGGACTCCCAAATTGCGAACCCTCTCTGAGGGGCGTATTTTGAGAGAAGCAAAGAGGTCAAGTTTAAACGACTTTCAATATTCTACCAGAAAAGGTGAGCGACTCAATGAGAAGCAGTTGAAATAAAAACAACTGCAATGAGAAGTAATCGTGTAGCTAATTCATTCTAATTGTTTACGTATGTCTAAGTTTTGGTCATTCCTTACTGAAAAAGGAAGTTTAGGAGTCCTCAAATTTAAATTTATTTTAATTGCTATCTTTCCATGAGATCAGAAAATGAGGGTAATATATTCAGCAAACTAAGAATGTACTTCTTCCAGTCAGGTGTACAATATACAGCGAAAGCAACATTAATTATTATGTTACAATACTTTAAATTGTGTGTGCATGCACTGGATTGAAATTTATCAAGTATTGACTTCAATTAAACGAGGCTCGTATTCAAACTATGAATTTGCAAGGTAAAGTACATTGAAAGAGTGTGTAATATGTACGTATGGGCCAAGGACCATATATACTATAGCTCAAAGGATGAACATAGGTGATGATAAAGTATCCCAATAGAAATGTTAAAGTCCGAAATCATACAAACAATGAAGGCCACTTTACGTTTAAGAGATTCAGGAAGAATTACATTTCAAGAAAATGGCTAGATTTGATACTTAATAGTTGAGTGACACGTGACAGATTGTTATAATCTTTTTCTTCTGATCCTTCATGCATTTATGTTGTGCAATGATTCTATTCAAATTCAAAAGGATTTTTCTGTCAAGAATATTTCTAGGGGAATTACCAAGGTGGCATTGTGAAGACATTTTGAGGAGCAGACAATGGGTTTGGGGGGGGGGGGGAGACTGGGACACATAAACTCAGTTTGAAAAGATCAACAACAAATTACAAAAACTGCTAAATAGCAATAGACTTATATACCGCTTCATGGGGCTTTCAGCCCTCTCTAAGCGGTTTACAGAGTCAGCATATTGCCCCCAACAACAATCCGGGTCCTCATTTTNCTGCAGTCAGCTGAAGTAGCCTGCAGTGCTGCATTTAACCACTGCACCACCTCGGCTCAAATAACGATAGAGGGATATTTGAGAAGCATTAAATATAACTACAGATCCTGAAAGCTCATAAATAAATAAACGCAATTCCAGCATAGTGTAGGGAAATCTTTCTGAAAAACACAATAGTAAATTCAAGGATGAAAGCCCCTTTTTGTTTTAATATTCTAAGAGCTGTTAAGAAAACATATCACTTTCTCTTTAAATGCTCTAAAACAGGGGTATTAAACTCACGTCGATCACGGCGGCGTTATGTGGCGTATTGGGACTTCCACCCCCCTTCGCTAAACCGGGTAGGGGTGTGGCTAGTGTGTGACGCATCCGGCCCGTGGGCCGGAAGTTTGAGAGCCCTGCTCTAAGATAACCTATGAACAAGGCATCCCAAGCTGACTTTACAAAAAATTTTTCATTTGCCTGCAAAACACAACTGCCCACAGATGGTGATTTTGCAGTAACAAAAAAAAAAGGCCTTCACGTGAGAAAGAACATAACTCAGAAAAGAGTTTCTTTGTCTTAGGTCTAAATCATTTGCAGTCTGATGTAAGTATTAATGGACTGTCGGTCTTTGTTCCATTCTCAACTAAATCTTTAGTTCAGAGATGTTCATATGTAACAGCACTGTCACACTACCCACTTTCAACACCAAAAGCAATAATTCAGCACACAAATTAGATGTTATCCCTTTAATGGTGTCACACTAATTAGAATCCTCTCAAGGCAGACAGTGCCTCAAAAAATGAATCCCTCTAGTCAAGAAATAACCAATGTAGAAATCTTGAGCGACACCAACCCAGTAGGCAAAAATGTTGTATATACATGTAAATATGGGCATGCAGAGAGGGACGCGATGGCTCAGTGGCTAAGATGCTGAGCTTGTCAATAAGAAGGGTCGGCAGTTCGGCGGTTCGAATCCCTAGTGCTGTGTAACGGAGTGAGCTCCCGTTACTTGTCCCAGCTTCTGCCAACCTAGCAGCTCAAAAACATGTAAAAATGCAAGTAGAAAAATAGGAACCACCTTTGGTGGGAAGGTAACAGTGTTCCGTGTGCCTGCAGTGTTTAGTCATGCCGGCCGCATGACCATAGAGACGTCTTCGGACAGCGCTGGCTCTTCGGCTTTGAAACAGAGATGAGCACCGCCCCCTAGAGTCGGGAATGACTAGCACATATGTGCGAGGGGAACCTTTACCTTTAAAGCTTTTAGTAAATATTATTTGGGTGTTTTTTGTATTGTGAGATCTGCATAAGCACTGGAACAATCGTCACTACTTAAAATTTCTGAAGTCAGTCAATGTTTGGTATCTTCAGCTTTCCAATAATGTGGATAAGCTTTTTTTTAAAAAAATGTCAAGGCTTTTTCTAAAATACTGTGATTAAGTTTAGCTTTCTCAAAGACTCCATATATTATCCTGATAATAATAAGTTCCACAGCTATTCTTTTGGTTTAGCAGAAAAATACAAAACTACTTTAAATAGCTGTCCCATGACTTCTTTAAAAGCACAGCGTAAGAAAACCAAAAGTAAATTAGTCTTGTTGAGGATAATGAGTTTTAAAAAGTATCTTTCCTTCACCCTACCATGAATTTCAGAGATATCAAACTTGAATAATATTAATTGGTACAGTGTTGCTTAAATACAACACAGTGAAGGTGTCTGAAGCTTGAACAAGACAAAGCAAAAACTCAAAAATAAAAAAGCTGTTGATTTCCGAGAAGATACCCAGGCGAGAAGAATTTTTATCCCGCTGTCTTAAAGCAGCCTACGAAGATGACTGAATGGCCCGAGGTGCCAAACATAGAAGCAATGATAGATTCTGTCTCGAAAGGATGACAATCAAACAGCCTTAGAACTCCACTCAAGGATGCTGAGTTGACTTAAGGCAAAGACAACCAAATTCAATTAGTATAACTAATGGGAGTTTCTTCTTAGTAAGCAAGAAGGAAGTTGATTTGTACAATCTCCTCAACAAGAGTTAATCCTTTTCTGACAGCTCTGGCTGGGCTGAATCTTGTACCAAGCTTCAAATATTCAGTATCTGCTAACAGCTTGTGTCTCAAATGTACAGTTCAAAATCCAGTGGGTTTCTTACAGAGGAGCAAGTGTGAGCACTGAAGATTAATATCTCCTGTTGAACACAAAAAGAAACATCTTTCTGACTTTAGCTGGAGTGCAGTTAAGCGCCTGTAAGCTAATTACCTCCTTTGGCAGCTGGAGTATGAAGTAGTTGTTTGGTTTTGAAGGCAACTCGGGGCAAATTTTTCTGCTTTTGCAGAGCTGTTGAAACAAAGACGTGTTATCTCTGTCTAAACAAAGGCGGCAAGAACTTTGAACTACATTCAAAAAGTTTCACTTAAGATTCTAAGACTATAATTTTCACCTAATCAAAACGTTAGAAAACAAAGGAACCAAAAAAATAATAATGGCAAAATAGCTTTCCAAAGCTGTTATGGCTCCAGTGACAGTAGCAGCAGTAGCAGTGAAGTGTTTTATTTTAAAGAAGTGATGCTCACCGCAGTAAGAGCTGTCAGAAAACGTGTAGAATAAAATGCATTATGTGTTTTAGCAGCCAAAGAATTTTTTTGCAGGCCAAAATAATATTAATAATAAATACCTGCACACCTAGAAGTGAAAACAAACCACCAGCCAATCATGCAAAGCCATATCAGTGCAAGGTTAAATTTAAAGAAGGCAACTGTCTCATTTAACTCCCAAGGTTTATAAAGTTTCACATCAGACAGCTCTTCAGAGNGTAAAAATACAAGTAGAAAAATAGAAACCACTTTTGGTGGGAAGGTAACAGCGTTCTGTGCGCCTTTGGTGTTTAGTCATGCTGGCACATGACCATAGAGATGTCTTCAGACAGCGCTGGCTCTTTGGCTTTGAAACAAAGATGAGTATCGCCCCCATAGAGTCGGGAGTGACTAGCACATATGTGCGAGGGGAACCTTAACTTTATGGGCATGCAACACATATCCAGTCTTCAGCAGGCAATAGGCTAATTTTATGAGTGCCAAATTCTAACTTCTTGCATGAAAATACAGATGGAACTATACAGTATACTGAGGAAATGAAACTGATCTTCTACTATAGGGTGCAAAATCAAAGGTATTACCAGTAATTATGAACTACTGCAAATTCTTGATCTAATAGATTACTTAATGCATGTCTAGAAAAGTATAGATATGTAATTTACCTAGGAGTCTGTGGCAGAACCTTAAGCCAAAAGATTAAGGATGTTTATCTTTTTTTCCTGAATCAAAACCCCAGATAACTGTTTACATTTTAAATGTGATGCCTTAAGTCATTTATAAACTATAGAAAGAAACTGAATCTCAATCTAAGCAAAAGTTATTCTAAAATAACTACATTTAATCTGATATGGTTTTGAGGTTTTAGGTAGCTGGGATTGTTGCAGTAATCATGCTATTGGTTTTATATGTGTGAAGCAGAAGTCCACAATAAAGTTATCCAATATAGATGATTGTTATACTGCATGATTTCTGCTGCTCATCAAAAGCTACCTACCAGGTTTCTAAAGCTTTTAGTAAGGACGCAGTGGCTAAGATGCTGAGCATGTGAATCAGAAAGGTTGGCAGTTCGGTGGTTCGAATCCCTAGTGCCACGTAACGGAGTGAGCTCCGGTTACTTGTCCCAGCTTCTGCCAACCTAGCAGCTCAAAAACATGTAAAAATGCAAGTAGAAAAATAGGAACCACCTTTGGTGGGAAGGTAACAGTGTTCCGTGTGCCTGCAGTGTTTAGTCATGCCGGCCGCATGACCATAGAGACGTCTTCGGACAGCGCTGGCTCTTCGGCTTTGAAACAGAGATGAGCACCGCCCC